ATTAGCATATTAACTCTTTATTTTATAGGATGCTAAAGAAAGAGGGACACTAGATACCCCTAGGAGAAATCCTGTTTAATTTATGGTAATACCATATATACTATATTTACTTCTTAGCTTCTTGGCCACCTAGCCTATCTTTAACAAAGCATGAAATTAGGAAGAATGCAAAAAAAAAAAAAAAAAAAAAGCCTCCGAGCAACCAAAATAAGTATATATAACCACTTCCATTTTTTAAAATTTCTGTGAAGAGTCCCAACTTGCCAAGCTCTCACTTTCTGCCCTCTCCCCCTGTATTCTTACTTTACCTAAATTCTAACAATCCTGGATATTAGGTTTCCGAACCCATAGCTGTTTAGGAGGAGGAAGAGCTACTCCAGGCAATCAAGGAAATATCCAAAGGGGATCCCTTGGCATCTTGATAACAAGAGAAGCTATTGGAATACTTTAAAAACAGACAAGAATGCAAAACGTTGTGGCTGTCTGTTATTATTTAGTCTGGGATCAATCATATCCAGTATCCAGTCTGACAGTGGTGTCTCATCCTCCTAAATGATAGGGATGGGCTTGGTAATTGAAGACTCGAGCATCTCCACTTGCTCTTGCTTCACTACGAGTTTAGTGCTGGGATCTCCCTTCATCTCCCATTTTCACCTGGAAGTCTGTGAATTCTGTTTCTATCCTGGCCCTTGTGATCTAGATTCTACTGGCCAGGCTCCCACCTGAACTTGTGATTTCTCTGTAACTTCCAACTTGGGATCTTCATTTCCAAGGAAATGTCTTCTCAAGAATGCATGAGCCTTGAGCTTCACTCTTGGGTTCACCCATGCAGCCATATATATTCCCTTTACTAACACGGTGTTTCTCAATCAATGATCAAGGAAAGTGTTGTAGGGTATTCACAATTAGACAAGTTTTGGAAATACTTTAGTCTATATATGCATACACACACAGAGAACATAGTATTTCTTTAGATGCTTAATCATCCCATTAATATTACCTGGGAAAAGAGGAGATTACTTACTGGAAAGGATTCTGAGCAGGCCAGTAACACCGCATGCCTGATTCTTGAACATGCCCCACTATTGCAGTCCAGGGTTGTTATGGGATGGTTTACACTGTTGTCTTTAATTCTTCCTTTGGTGGTATTAGAGTCAGTTCTCATCAGTTTCTTTTTCTTAGGACCAATTTTTACCCCCATTAACCAGTCTCAGACTCTTCCTAATAGGCTGTAAACTCTATGCAGGCCTGGATTAAATCCTTTTATCTTTCCACACTGAGCACAGTGCCTGGATTCTCACCTTGCATGTTACGGGAGCTTAACAAATGGCTTATTGGTAAATTAATTAATTATAAATGAGACTTCTGGATAGCCTGTGTATTATTGAGCTTCTAATTGTTTCTTCAGCAGCATTAACTGGAAAATGCAATTTCCCCAGAGCTATTCTTTATCTTAGTTAATGTTGTTTCAGAGAGGGACTGTGTCATGATGATATAAAATTTTGATTAAATGGAAACAGCAGTTTGTTTCTCTTTTACTAATAGCTTCACATAAAATACCATTTGTTAAATGGGGAAACAGTTGGAAAGGAAAGGTTTTCCCAAAGTATGTATTATAACCAAGGCATGGTATATAGCTTTAAAATGATTTATACTTTGTGTGTAGGGCTTGCTCAGTTAATGTATCCACTTATCAGGCACTAGGAAATTTTGAGTGAGGAATGAGGTTATGAAATAGATGTGTAACATGGAAGTAGAAAGAGGCTATATAGTTTGAATCAGTTAATGCTGCTCTATCAAGCTTAATGTTCTCTTTTTGACTTTTCTTCACTTAGTAACTGGGCTATTTCCCTCAGTGTGTTAACTGTGGCCTAGGAGTGAAGAAAACTGCTACATCAAAACATTTTAGAACATTGGGAAGAGGAGGTAGCAATTCATTGCTTAAGGGACCAGATAATAAGCTAAAAAGGGCAAATGTGACTTACTAAAAGGCCCCATATAGAAACAAAGAACTTATACACAGGGATATCTTAATGGAGTGTTTGATCTCCATGTATCCTACTCTTAGAGTATGAGTCAGATTCATACAGGGTCACTGCTAACCCATTTGCATTTGTGAAAATTAGGGAAATGTGCCCTTCCTTGAGTAAAATTTTTGAGTATATTATGCCAACTTGAACAATTCTATGTTTAGGCCTGAAGAAAGTGAGAATGTGGATGGGTACCCTCTCTGGTCTAGTTTGGGGATTCTGGACTTCACCTTCCTGTAAGGAATGAAAGAAGGAGAGGTGGGAATGAGGGCATGGGGTTGGAAGCATTGGCTCAGGGGATTTAATCAGTAATAACCAACTTCAATTTACCCAAAGAGTGGCTCCATACATCAAACCTATTTTTTCTTTTCTGTTTTTTTAAGACCTGCAATCAATTTTTAGAGAAGAAGGAAGAGGGAGAGAGAGAAACATCAATGTGAGAGCAGAACATACTGTAGATTGGCTTCCCCCTGTACACCCCTTACTGGGGATCAAGCCTAAAACCTGGGCATGTACCCAGTCTGGGAGTTGAACCAACAACCTTCCAGTGCATGGGACGATGCCCAACCAACTGAGCCACACCAGCCAGGGCAGATAAAACTTATTTTTAAATCAGTGCCTAGAATATCTACATTCTGTTAAGAATCATACAAACCTGCTGCTCAGAGGATATGCCCCTTTGGCTTAGCCTGGCTCTGTTGGATTGAGATATGGGGGTCCATAATCCTGGCAGGAGCAAACCTGTATATATACCACACACCTGCACCAAATGTCAGACTTACATACCACTAGCAGTGCATACATCCTCCCACCCCTATCCCCATAAATCTACCCTGTTTGCTATAGAAAATGAGCCAGTGAAAATTCGGCTTCCTAGACCCGGGAACAAGTAGTGGGATGTGCCATTAAGTTGCAGTTACCTGGCTCCTCAAAATATATGCATGCTCAAGGGTGTCAATGTGGAGTTAACATGACTAAGACCTTTCGCCATGGCTTTACATTTCAACTGGGAGACCCAGCATCTCTTCTTCTGCCATCACTATATTCTCATATAACTTCACACATGTCTACTTAGTGAATACTGCCACCCCTTCCCAGCTGTGGTGCCCTTATGCTACCCTGGATTCAATTCATATAGAGACACACATAGCGTTCTAATAAGTACTCAAAATAATACAATGCTTCTGTATTTAAAGGAGCACTGAAATGTGTACAATAGAATATTGAACATTTTTTATTTAGAGTTTCCACATTCTACTTTTCTTAAATCTTTTATTTTTTATTCTTCTGGTTGTTTAAATAGAATAACAATGAATTCAGACAACATATTGTAAAATGTAAAAGCATATATTAGTTATCTATCTTTTAATTGTGTGGTTAGAACTGTAAGCTCCCTGAATTTTTGAACTAAAAGTAATATATGTCCCTTTGAAGGCTCTGAGTCTATTTAGAACCTGCTAATCTGAGCTAGGAGGTAGAAGAGAGAGGCTTTCTTGTGTCAGCAGTGCCCTGGACACTCAATTGGGAATGAGTTCAAAGCCCCTGAAGACCTCAGGCTCCCACTAAAATACAAATTCCAATATAAGTTTATTCTTGGACTTAGTTTTAGACTAGATTAGAAAGATTTGTCTAATGAGCTTTCATTTGAGAAGTGTGTTAGTGACATAAATTAACATTGGGAATGTAATTTCACCATGAGGTTATTGATATAATATATATAGTCTTTTATTTTTAAATTTTGTATTATGGTGTATTTCAAACATATACCAAATTAGAGAGCATATGATAATGAACTCCTATGCAACACTACCCAGTTTCAATGGCTAACATTTTGTCAATTGTGCTTCCTTTAAAGCACCCCCTCCTTTATTTGCCCCATAATTTTAAAGTAAATTTCAGACATCTTGTCAATTCACCTGGAATATTTCAGCATTTATTTCTAGTTTATAAGGCCTTTTTAAAAACAACCACCATGACATTATCATATCTATAAAATTAATAGTTCCTTAATATTGTCTAATATTCTTCCACATTAAAATTTCCATGATTGTCTCAACAACGTCTTTTTACAGATTGCTTGTTCAAATTAGAATCTATGTAAGTTTTATACACTGTATTTGGCTGCTTACATCTCTTGGGTTTCTTTTCTTCTATATTAATAGGTTTTCATATTTTTCCTTACATTTTCTTATAATTTATCAAGGGAGCTTAAATGGAAAACTTGCTACCAAAACTAATGCATTAGGCTTTATCTTTAAATCATTAATTTATATATTTTTTACTTTTTCAGATTTCTACACACTAGGTGCTGAAATTTGAAGGGCTGAGAAAATGGGGAAGGGGGGCGGAGAATGATTTTCTTTTTTATTCAAAAACAGGCATGAATTTATTTTCTTACTCATCAGCAGAAACCAAGTGCAGAAATATGGCCCCACCCTATTTGAGTCAAATAGGTCTGTATTAAATCACATTTGTAAGCTACATTATAGTTTGACCTAACCAGAATATTACTTTAATTCTGAATCCAAAGTCTATAAATGATAAGCCCTTTGCCTCTGGGATCTTATCTTTTTTGTCTTTCAGTTTTGGTGTTGTATTGTCAGTAAGACAATGTTTTCTTACCAAATGTGTTTGTATCTCCTCTACTGTTACCAATTAACATACCTGCACGGCTTGTCCATTTGAAATTATTTCCCATTGAGTTCACTCTGATATCTCAAAAACATTGTCCTTTGTAAAAATAATTGAATCATATATTTGCATCTTTTAAAAAATATTTATTTTGCTATTCTACCAAGTTGGTGCATTATTTTCTTTCAACATAGATTAGGACAGAAAAGAATTTCTTCCGTCACTGTAATTTTAACACTACCACGCTTGATATAAATTGTGTAGTTCTGCTAAAATGCCTCAAAATTTTACCACTTCTTTTTATAAACTCTCAATCTTGTGATATCTTTCTTTTCTTAGGATTTGAACGAGTCTGCCAAACAAGAAGATATTTTAGAATCTACAACAGATGCTGCAGAATGGAGTCTAGAAGTGGAACGTGTACTACCACAACTGAAAGTCACGATTAGGACCGACAATAAGGTATAGAAGAGAGAACACATTTTGTTCAAATAGAATTTTATAAGGCAATTTCAGGGTCAAGTGTACTCCCATACTAACAGAGATTTAAGAACGGTGTTAGGGTTCAGTTTCCAGTGTTTTGTCTTATTAAAGATTTAATAAATTGTCATTGAATGAATAAAAAATAATGTAATAGGTCTTTAAAATGATTTGGAAAACATCATGTTTCCCTGGGATTGAAAGTTATTTCCTCAATATATTTTGATATATGTTTTTTTGCAATCCAATTTTATTTATGTGAATAGTGAATGAAATTGAGATTTCATGACTATATACCAACTGAATAGAGTTAGAAGATGATTAAGAACTCTGTTGAAAGACAAAATAGAAGACATCCTAGAAGCTGCCTTACATTTTCTATTAATTATATGTGATTACAAGTTAAATATTGAAATAATCGAAAAATCATATGCAATACTAGTAAGATATGGGTATTAAGCCAGATGAACTGGCCCATTTAATGAAGTTTCTGCTTCCTTTTTTACCTACAATTTATAAGTAACAACTTCAGAACAAGCTAATAGCTGACTAGACAATACTATTCTCAGTTGTACTATAGTACAGTAATTTTTACAAAAGGGGCTAGAGAGACATCTAGGTAATGAAATGAAAGAATTTTCATCCTTGGAGGCTGGAGACGAGTCCCAGCATTATGAGGTAAGATTCTAGGGAAGGGTGTCACTCTGAAAATGAGGTCCTGTGTCTGCCCCCAAAGTAGAAACCTACAAAGATTGCAGTTTTCAGGGTGCCCTGGAAGTTAATTCATTCTTAGACTGACTGGGTTTGGGCTTGTGGAACTGTATCCTAGAGAAAGTAAAAAGTAGACTGGAATACTAGAGCAGTCTTAGAACAGGATAAGGATGGATGGCAGAGGTATAACCAGACTGTGAACAGCTGTGGAACAAAAACTTTATCTAAAATAAGTGGGCAAGTCTCATAGCCTGTTTACCCTATATTTATTCAATCATTATGGAGGACAGGTATTATTTGACTGCATTGGGGGTGAATTAATTTTTTATATATCTCTTACCTATAATACACATTAATAAGAATTTCTTCACTGATTAGATCTCTGCTGAAAGTTATAATTTGCAAAAATGTATTTTTTACCTAAAAAGTCCATTTCTGATTCTCTCATTTTGTCATAACAAAGTCTCTTCATAAAATTAAAAACCACTGTTATTGTGGATCTAGTTAGAATGACATGTTAAAATAATTGTGTGGTTGGGAACTCTCAAGTACACCTTAATCCCACAAGGAACAAGTTTAATTTGTTTACTTTCAAGCTAAGTAAACTCTTGAAATCAAACATCTCATTTAGAGCCTAATAGGTTTTTTAAGTAAACACTGTTATTGATTTCTACATAATAGAAGTAACTGAATAAAGAAAGAGTGTAAGTGTAATTGCCAGCATGCACATTTTTACAAAACTAAGTGTAGGTCAGATTCTGTTACAAACCAATATATACTATGGTAATCAAAATCATGGATTATTAAAGAATCAATGTTCTGTTTTGGGGAAGAATTAACCAGTTGAAAGTTGGACTCTTAGTCTCATGCCACATGTTACCAGCCTTAATCTTATGAGGACATATGGTACCAAATTAATTATACAATCAGACTTTATAGGCAACATTCCAAAATGTCAGATAAAGTTTTGGGTATTTTTTAGAATATGTGAATATCACTTTGAATTTTTGTGGTAAAACATACTGATCTAAAGTCATATAGTATTGCTTTTTCAGAATTCTCCAGATCATTTGATCTTTGTGTCTGGTATTTCACAAACTTATTTTTGCTAAGTATTTCAGATGTAGCAAATGGGAACTATAGTTTTAGGGTCAATTTTTTATTCAGCTTCCTTAAGAAAAATAAAATTTTACATTGAATTGAGAAAATAAGGTACTACTGAATAGAGAAATTTTTTTTATGTCTCAGAAATAAAAATAATCTACTTACATATGAGGTTTCTCACGGAGTCATTACCCTCATTCTTCAGAGGTTGACCTCAGCATCATGGTATATCCCATTCTTCCTCAACTCTTCACTCTACCAAAACCAAACTCTCTCCTTTATTTTGGCCAAAATAATAACCTTTCACTCAAAACAGGCTGTTTTGGGACATACAGAGATTTCAATTTTGTGTTTGAGGGGAAAAAGAAATTATTTTCAGATCAATATGTTTTTCTAATCACTGTTAGATTAATTTTGAAGGAGAATAGATATGTCAGAGATAAGTAATAAAGGGCCTTCATTATTTAAAACCATTATAAATTTATTTTAAGTGACCTCATGTTAGTAGTAAATAAATCCCATATTTATTTGGGACTAAATCAAATGTTTGTTTTGCTTTTTTTTCCTCTCAAGTTCAGTTTATTCCTTATATGTTTCCTAGCAGAGAACTGCAGAAAAGCAAATCTCCTTTTCTGTCCTCTAGGTGTGTTTATTTTTGTGTGTGTGTGGGGGGGGGGGGGTTGTTTGTTTTGTTTTTTGCATATTATACTATGTACGATTTGATGCAATCCTATGATATACCAATATTTTATTTTGTATATTCTCCATGAGGTTGCAGTAAGGTTTTTATTGTAGACCAGATTGTCCCTGTTTCTGGCACCACTTCTTACTGTTGCCAGTTCTCAAAGAATATAAACAAATTTTAATATTAGCTTAAACAAATTGCAATTAGGAAAATAAATATGCTGCCAAAAATACAAATAGTGTTCCGAAATGGAGATAAAAGACTTTTGTCATATGCTAACTTGAATGGACTATGTTAATAGTTCCCTTTTTAGAGTTGCTTATAGGGAATACCCCTGGTGATTACTTCTAGAGTAATTATACACTCAGGGACCAACTCAGATCTGCCCCAACTAGGAATAATGTGGCTAAAGATACAGTAAGAAGTTTTTGTGAGAGTCAATAAATTTAGCCAAATCCTAGTCACTCCATTCTAGTTAGTGCCTCAGTTATCGCCAAGTGAGTAAGGCTCAGGAATAAATGCCTTAGAAGGGCAGTCTGAGGACAACTAGAGTAGATGTTGGTACCACTTAATAAAATCATCTACCAGAATTGTTGCTACTCTGTGATCCTGTATCTTGTACTTTTGTTCTTTCCTTCCTTATTTTTTACTGTTTATTTCTCTTACCCTTTCCTACTGTGTTTTTTTAAAAAATCTTTTGTATTGTTCTTTGCTAGACCGAATAGTGCTCACAAGTGTTACATAACTACTCTGGTGGAATTTGAAACTAAGAGCAAACATCTGTGATTATTATCAGACTAGATTTAAATCTGTAACTAATCAAGAATTATTTTAATCTCTGAGTCTTTTTAAAATACATTTCTGTGCCCGGAGATCGTGGTTAGGTTCCTAGTCAGGGCACATGCCTGAGTTGCAAGCTCAATTCCCTATAGGGGGTGTGCAGGAAGCAGCTGATCAATGATTCTATCTCATCATTGATGTTTCTATTGGTCTCTCCTTCCCCCTTCCCCTCTCTGAAATCAATAAAAACATATTAAAATTTTTTAAAATATACTTTTGTTTTTAATTATAAAAATAATATGAAAGCATTATTTCAAAGGAAGAGGGACCAGTCAGTATGCTGTGAATTAGAAGGTAGCAATTACACATTTAGTCCAACTATCAATTTCTAATTTATTCAGCCAAAGTTTTAGAAACTTAGCGGAAATGTGGTAGCCATAAAGACCCAGAAAAGATGTAGCCTATCTCACACACTTTCTCTTGGCACCCAGAATTTATATTTACATCACTTACTAGTTGCATGACCCAGGGCAAGCTATGATACCTCTCTGTTCTCCTTTCCCCATGTATAAAATGGGACTAATTATATTACTTAACTCACAGAGTTGTTGTAGATTACCAAGAACAATGTCTGACAAATAGCTAATACCTAATAAATGTTAATTATTGTTATGTTACAATATTGTTACGATAATATTGCTTTCTATCATTGCCCTCTTATATTCAGTGCCTATGTCAGTATTCAGGAAGAATTCACAAAATTTCTTCCAGAAATTTTGTTTCCATCCCTTAAGGGAATATTTATAAATATCAGCCTTATATTCTTACATGTAGATATAATCAGATTCATATTAATATCACTTTGGTCAATCTTCCTAGTTCTTTCTAGGTCTAAAAGTACATATAATACGATGATAATAATAGTAATAACTGACATTTACTGAGTGGTCACTGTGTGCCAAGTGCTCTTCTTAGCACTTCACATACATTAGCTCATTTAATCCTTTCCACTGCCCTTTGAGATGCAGATACCTTCTACTAAAGATAAAGAAACTGAAACACGGAGAAGTAATTTGCTTTTGGTAGTTGAACCTACAATCCAGGCTCTTCCCTATTTGGTTAGTAGCAATATAACATACTGGTTAAAAGCACAAATTCTGAGTCCAGCTTGTTTGAGTACAAATTCTGGCTCTAATTCTTATTAACTGTTGGATTCAACCACTCTGTGCCTCAGTTTCCTAATCTATAAAGTGGAGTTCATTATAAAACCTACCTCAAAGAGTTATTTAAAGGGATTAAAGGAATTAACATACCTAAAGGACTTAGAATGATGCCAGAAGACTTACTTAAAATATTTTAACCACTATTTCTGTGTGTTTTCATCTATAGAGTTGAAATTACACCTCTTTTTGTGACATGATGTAACATCATGGGCATTTCCACACATCCTTAAAAATTATAAACCATAATTTTAGATGTTGTCTATAGTGCTGAAAGGTTACTATTAATCTCTAGCTGAGTGGCAGAGATGGCTTGGCCAACCTCAGCAGGTTGGCATCAGAACAGGAGGTCCAGGGTCTGGGTACAGGAATGACAGGGTAGAGTCATGGTTAGAATATGGGCAAGCATATTCTAACCATAAGATCTGAGAACACATACCGAAGGCAAGAAATGGAATCTGCCGATGTGTCTCTTTAGAGAA